TTGTCAAGTATATCATTCATTTCAAGTACTCAAGGCAAGTATATATGATCAACGATGTTTAAATGATTCACTTAAACCAAAATTCTTGAAAGTTCATTAGAGGATTGATAAGATCAAAACCTCCTAAAAATGAACCTCAAGGTTATTGGATCAAAGGTTTCAAATTAAACATACTTGGGCTTACAAATATAGGTTTGGGCCACGAATCATCATTTTTTAAATCGGGACAAATTTAGCGCTATATTAAGTAATCGTAAGTGAACTTATGTAGAAGTCACACCTATTTTGAGGCCAGTCAATAACAATCTATGTACCACATGTTAGAGAAATGATATGTAGATTATTCTCCAATAGCATGTAGCACAAGTAAGAAAGGGATAAGATGAAGAGAGAGGGAATATATCAAATGAAATTAGGGTTTCAAATATCATCAATATCATTCATCCATTTTGGTGGATTTGGTTTTTCAACCTATCAACACCCAAGATCCAATGAGGTTGAGGAACTTATCCCAGAATAACACCCAAATCAGGACCAAACAAAAATAATAAAATAATATTCAATAAAATAATATTTAAATGATTAAATAAAAGGGAAATAATTAGTAAAATACACAAAGTATATTAAAACACCAAATAAAAATCCTAAAAAAATTCAGAGGTCAAACATGAGTCAATAAGTGATGACAAAAAATTTCAGAATTTTTTAAAGTAAGAAACTATTTTTTAAAAATTCAAAGAAATAAGCAAAATAAACCAAAAATTGTAAAAATAGAAATAAAAATAAAGTGAGATCACTAATATTTATCAAGAGGTCATTGGATCTTTCCATATTTTTTTCCAGAATTTAAAAATCAAGTAAAGTATTTTTAAACAATTAAAACAATTCAAATAAAGTAAAAAATCATTAAAAATACCAAATCATAAAATAAAGTTGTGAAAAAATAAGAATCATAAAGAGAAAAATCAAAAGTATTTATGAGAATTTTTTCAGAATTTTAGAAGTTGAAATAAATTTTTTATGAATTTTTGAAGTTTAAAACAATAAAATCAAAAATTAGAAAATAAAAATAATATCAAAATAATGTGGACCATATGATCATAGTTAAAACGCGTTAGTAAATAGATACAAAGGGCCTGGCGCGTTGTGCTTGATATGGACCTTAAGAGAAACACACACGATCAATTAAAATTGGGCCAATGAAATTAAAACAATTATCACACTATCTGTGGGTCGTCTTCAACCTCCAGACCCCTGTGTGTTGGCTTTTTGTGAGTTTCTTCAAATGGAAAAATTAGAAACTCATAGTGGTATCATTGAATTCATCTCTTCAAGACTATCCTAACCCTACCCTCCCAAAAAAATTATATAAAATACAACTTACTCGATTTAGAAAAAACCAGAGAGTTTTGAAAATTTTAAAACCAAAAACAGAAGCATCAAATGCATTAACTCACCAAAATTAAATTAATAGCAAGCATCTGTGAACATCATAAACCATTTCAGTAATTTTAGTTAGAAGATTTGGTGCCTTAAACTACCTGAACTAAGTCAAATGAATTTGCTCTGAAACTAGACTTGACTAGCGAGATTTAGGACACCTCAAGGCTTGGTTCTTCTTCTGTTAGCTTCAGGGAAGTTCAAGGATGAAGAATCAACAAAGAAATTGGATTGAAAGATGTTTTAAAACTAAATTCGAACTTGCAGAATTGAGAGGTATGAAGGGAGGTCAACAGAGGTTCTCTGGCTCTCCAAAGCTTGTCAAATGAATGAGATATTATTCTATATTTATAGCTGAGCAAATGGGATGCTCAAGCGTGTGATATGATGAGATTTTGAGAGAATTCATATGAAGTTGAAAGCATAAAAAGTGTGACTCATATTTGCTCAAAACTCAGCCAAAACTTGCGTTTCAAGTTTCTAATCACCTCCGGAAGATTGCTAAGCATGGTTAGAAGTAAAAATGCGCAACAATTTTGTGATTAGATGCCACATTAACAAATTTGAAATCTAATTGTTTTGACAAAATCAGTTTCATGGTACCAACTTTGAATCCATGGTACAAATAACTCAAGGGGCTTTATGACACGATTCTTTAAACATTTGGAAGATGAGGTCACAATCTTTACAATGTGCCAAGAAAGACTCCATTTGGATAATTGAGCTGAAAGTTATGCCCATTTGAATTTGTGAAAAACACACAGATATTTTATACTTAGAAAAGTTTTAAGTGTTGAACTTCAAAATGACTTATAATGTTCTTGAAAATTACATGACTTTCACTCAAAATTTGATCTTGATATCTGAAGATGACATGAAGTAGACCTCTCAAATTAAAGTGTGGAATTGAGATCACTCAAAAATCATAAAAATTGAAAGAGTTATGATCTTTGAAAGATGATGAACAAATTTGGGGAAACTTACAAAAGACTTATAATATTTTCAAATCTTCATTCATTTTCCAAGCATCCTCAAGTCTTGCACAGAAAAACAAAGTTGTAGTAGATATCCCAAAGATTATTTTGGAAAAAGAATGGGCTCAAGGAGATAAAAATTAACCGAGTTATGATCATTTGAAGTCAAACCCTAAAATTCAAAGGCCTTTCAAGGAGGCTTGCAATCTTTCTCAACTATTAGTGATCTTCCATTCAAAATTAGCCTTAGAATTCTGAAGAGATCTTGTTAAGGACCATTTAAAGAGAATCATGGCTTTTGAACCAATCAAAAATCTCAAACAATGAGCAAGATACGGTCCTTAGAAGTCAACAAACCCTAGCTCAGAGAGTGTCAAAATAACTTGAAACCCCTTTCAACTTTTGATGATTTTTCTTGTACAATTGGATGTTGTCATGTTAAGAGAGGTTGTTGTTGATGATGATAAGAATCCATATTAAAAATAACCAACTCCAAATGTTGAAAATTGAGAGAATTATGCACTTGTGGTCACTAAATCAAGCATTTGCTTAATTAGGTCAAACTTGTTGAGCCAACCTTGAATCTCTTTGAACTTTCTTGGAAAAATAAAGCATTATGAATCATGAGAGGCCTTGAAATGATGATGTCTTGAAGCACAGTCAAAGATGGAGCTTAAGTCTCAATGAAGCTTGTTGAAGAAGACATGGAAATAAACACATGAATCTATGAATCTTCTTGATGAATGCCACCACCAACTTTGAAGAGGTATTGACCTAAATAAAATGAGAGAGCTCATTGAACCATGAATGTTTAATGTCATAGATATGGTCTTAAAGATTGAGCTCTTGTAATCCATTGAAGCATCATTTGACTAAGACCACCCCTCAAAACCCTAGGTTAGATGGTGAGATGAATGCAATTATGATCACGTATAATATGAACATTCAAAGAAATATATATACACATATTGATGTTAGTTAATAGAACACATGTACAAGATACACATTTCAAGATGCTTGGTGATCCCTCAAGAGCAAACTTAAAAAGAGAACCAACCCTAATGTGTGATCTTCATATACTAATAAAAGTGAGATGATGAGAAATATTAGGGGGGGGGGGGGGAATTGGGGGTATAACAATACTTACATTGTCCACACAAACTCTATGTCTGGAAACATAATGGTTATCGTCCAAACTTTTTAATAAATATTGCATTTCGGACCTCGGACCTCTTTGTGCAATTCGTTGTTTATAATGGTGATTGTAAACCGACTTGACATTTGAAACACATTTCAGTTTATTCTGTTTCAAACCGTTAAGTATGTTTCTCGGTGCAACTTTGATCAACGACAATTTAGAAATAAATTCCTTCTCTATCGGCTTAAGCCGACATACAATTGGATGTCCGTGTAACTTGGTGTCCAACGCATGATTATGCATACCAGACATGATATTAAACCGCCATAAATTATTCACCTACAATATACGTACAATTTAAACGGACACCCACATTTCCTCGATCTCGTGTCATCATGATTTATCTTGCGAATTTTCAAAACATATTTTCCACTTCTTTCGCATTTCATCACAATAAATGGTTGCCGATTACTAGTCTCATTATCGGACCTTTCAATCACAACGCCAAACTCAAGTTTGCTTGCTTCTATTTGAACCCATTCAAGCATATGTTGACGAGTGGTGAAAGTTTTATCATTTGGAAATATTTTGTCCATGATCTATCGCAACATCAATCGTTTTATCAACGTCCTTCACCTTATTCGACTTATCATCTTCATTGACCTTATCCGGAACCTTTACGATAGCTTTAACAATATTGTCAAGGTGCAGCATACCTAACATGTTCAAAAAAACATGAATTCTGTTAAAACATAATTATGGTTCTGTAACAGACATTTATTTGGATGTGCACTTGCGAATTTTGGCAGGTGGCCTTGGCAGGTGCATATGCGAAGTGACGTTGTTTTCTTCTTCAATAAAACAACTTCAATGCAGCTAATGTATGATGAAAGGATGAAAGTTTACCTCAAATTACAGCTTTTAATGCTCACTTTGCTAAACTCAAACACTTGAAACTTGATTTGGAGACAAAAAATTCATTGAGATTGATTGAAGTTTGTTGAGGGTTTTTGTTAGAGAAAAAGAAAATGAATGAAATAGTTGAAATAGGTGATCATGCAACATTCTAATATGAAAAGGGAAGTTTCACATGTGCACATTTGAATTCACCTTTCAAGATGTTTCGTATATGCACATGCGAAATCCCCTTAATATTTTAAAATCCAACAATTAAATATTAAAACGTACAAAATGAAAATATCTTCGCATATACACTTCCGAAACATTTTTATATGTTAATTTGCAAGTACAAATACAAATGATATTTTTAGATTTTCAGTGATGAAAATCATCATGGCTAGGTATACAGAGAAATTTTCTAAATTTCATAGGAGACAAATAAATAAAGTAATACTAGTACTAGTATTATTCACCAAATAAAGTGATTCTATATTCCCCGGTCCTCACCATGAGTGAAAGTGTAGAACAACATAATCAAAGTGAGAAACATGCCTTCTCCCTCCACCTTCCTTGCACTCCATCTCTTCCTTCTTTTCGCTCTCTTCTCCCTCCACGGTAACTCTTCCTCAATCACTCTTCCTTTCTCCAATTTCTCATTTTAATCTCATTTTTGAATTTCATTTTTTCAGTTCAAGCAAACCACGTCATTTCTGAAGACGGTTACACCCTCACCACCGTTCTCGACGGTCACAAGCTTCACATAAACCCGTTCTCCGTCCTCCAACGACCCATTTCCTCTGATCTCATAATCCTCGATTCCTCAAACAGTACTTTCTACACCGTCCAATTACCCATTTCCCAAGGTTCATTCTTTTGCTTTTTTGTTTATTGGGGTGTGCTAAAGTTTTGATTTTTATTTAGGGTTTTTGGTTATTTCTGTTTTTTATTTTTTTGTCTGTTGCAGAAAGTGTTTTCAAGAGGTTTTCTGGAAATGGGTTGCCTGGGTATGATGATGGTGATGTGGGTTCTGCAAGGTTTGATAAACCTAGAAGCTTTGCTGTTGATGTGAGAGGGAATGTGTATGTTGCTGATAGGGTTAATAAGGTGATAAGGAAAATCAGTACCAATGGTATGTTTGTACATAAACTTTGCAATTGTTTAGTTCTATCTTGTTTTGTTGCTTGGTTTTTGCATCTAAATTTTCAGTTTTTAAGTTCATGAAATTGCTTTCTAATGGAAATTGCATGATCTAAATTTCATTGAAAGATCGGTTTAGTTAACTAACATTGATGAAAGACCATTTTGAATGATATTTTACAATTTCAAAAATGCATTTTCCAATTCCCAAAAATGATACTACCCAGACGATTATATATAGATCAGATACATTAGTTATTCAATGAACTTAAAAAATGAATATTTTGACCATTAACTTATAATAGCGACTAGAGAGTAGAATATTTTGACGGATGTCTACAGTTTCGTGGACTAATTTATGTGATCATTCAATTAGTCTAAAACTCGAAATTGATTGTTGGTTATTTTGATGTCTGACTAGGTGTCACCACAATTGCTGGAGGGTCTTCAGAAAAGTCAAACATCAAGGATGGACCAGCACAAAATGCATCATTTTCAAATGATTTTGAGCTAACTTTCATTCCTGCCCTGTGTGCTTTATTAGTGTCAGATCATATGCACCAGTTGGTCCATCAGATTAATTTGAAGGAGGAGGATTGTACTATTGGATCTAAATCTGGTGAGAATTTAGAATCTGGTGCATATTATAATATGAACTTTTCCTTATCCTTTTCACACTTCATGTTTTCTAGTTACTATTCTTCTTAGGTTAAAGCAATTGTAAATCAATTTTTTCTGCACAAATCAGGGCTTGGTGCAGTTATGACTTGGACTCTAGGGTTGGGACTATCATGTTTACTTGGCTTAATAATCGGCATTGTGGTCCGCCCCTATATCATCCCTCATGTAAGTTCCTCTCAATTTCTTGCCAATATTTTATGCAACGAAGAGTTTTACTTGCACCAAATCTAACCGAGTTATGTAGACAGGAACACACCAGCCGTTACCATTTCACCGTGACATGGAAGCATTGCCAAACCAGTTTGGGGAAGCTACTACCGACACTCTGCTCCGGCATAAAAAGCGCAGTTGCTAGCTGCAATTGCTCATCCATTTTCGCTGTTGCAGTGAAGCTTTGGAGATTGAGTCTTTCTCTTCTTGTTCTAGTGTTTAATATCGACTTTGTTTTTCCAAGGCGGCCACATCTGGAGTCAGTTTCTTTGTTAGATTTAGATGCTTGCAATAGTGGTGAAATATCAAAGTCAAGTAAGTATTTTGACCAAATGAAGGATTTGATGAGTTTTGATGAAGATGTTATGGATTCAACCAAGAAAAACTTAAACCAAGGAAAGGATATCAGAGGCAGCATGAGAACTAACGATAGTAGTAACATTCTTCATCAAGAATCATCTGTGGCTAATTTGGGTGTTGTGAAGAGGAGATGAACTTTTTATGATGCTAAAGTTTTATGTAAATACTTTGCTAATATTGACAGTACTAGTAATTCACATTGCACATTTTTCCTATTTAGATTTAAATAACAACCATAAAATAGTGCCATTATGAGATAGATAGTTTTGGGTAGACTTTAATTGTGTTACGGCAAAATCCCTTATGAAAATTCTAAAATGTCCTTTTGTATAGTCTAAATTTCAAGATTCGACCGTGCTTATTATGTATCAAACCAATTTATCAGAGTGGCACTCAGTTTTTGCCAAAAAAAAAATGGTTCAAATTTCAAATTTTGAATTAATTTTGCCATTTGTAAATAAACCTTTTATTATAAGTTATTTATAAATCAATCTAACAGATAAAAATAGAAAAACTATTGTGTATATCTGAATGTCAAATGTCAAATATAAAGTAAAAGATAATTAATGCGTATTATGCGTATATTTGACGTCCCTGTTTCTCCTCTGTTGTCTGTACTATAAAATATGTCGCACATCTACTAAGATGACTTGTATGGTA